CCCACCCCTTCACTCTACAGCCCCCACCCCACCCCTTCACTCTATAGCTCCACCCCTTCATTCTATCACCCCCACCCCACCCCTTCACTCTATAGCCCCCACCCCTTCATTCTATAGCCCTCACCCCACCTTTACTCTATAGCCCTTTTTTCCCTGGCTTATGGATTCTTTATTCATTGACTAAATGGACACAGCCCTGTCCTGGTAGAATTTAAAAATACGTTTACTCAAAGCTTGCTTATCATTTATTTGCCAATACAAAGTTCTTGACTTAGCAAGACAAGCTTCTGTCTTCAGAAATTTGGTATCCACTGGAAGACACCTTTGATGGCTATTGTTTTTTTTTTTCAACTTAACAACACCAGTAATTAACCAAAACCCAAGTGACTAGGTACATCTGATGTGGGATTTCCCTCTGTGTGCTGTGATTACCATTAATGAATAAAGAAACTGCCTTGGTCTGTTGATAGGGCAGAACTTAGGTAGGAGGGGAACACTAAATGACATGCTGGGAGAAAGGAGGCAGAGTTAGGAGAGATGCCATGTAGCCTGCTGGACACTGACACCAGAACTTTACCCGGTAAACCACAGACTCATGGCAATATACAGATTACTAGAAATTGGTTAAATTATGATATAAGAGTTAGCCAATAAGAAGTTAGAGCTAATGAGCCAAGCAGTGATTTAAATAATATAGTTTCTGTGTGATTATTCCGGGTCTGAGCTACTGAGCTGCCGGGAACCAACAAACAGCCCTCCTCCAACATACATCAAAGGGATTTTTCTTAATGAAATCATTTGAAATGGAAAGACCCACCTTTAATCCAGATCTTTTGAGGTGGAAAGACCCACCTTGAATCTGGGCCACACCTCTGCTGGCAGCCTACATAAAGGACATGGGAGAAGGAAGTTTGCTCTCTTTGCCTGCTTCCCCTCGCTCTCGCTCTCACTGGAAAGTCCATTCCTCACTGGCGTTAGAGCATGCCTCTTCAGCATTCCAGTGTCTGTTCAAGACCAGCCGAGACATCCAGCCTCATGGCCTGAGCAACTATTGGATAGCTGGACTTTCCAGTGGTAGACAGGCTTTGTTGGACTAACTGGACCACAGCCTGTAAGCCTCTCTAGTAAGTCTCAGACAGACAGAAAGACTGATGATAGACTCATTCTATCAGGTCTGTTCCTTAGAGAACTCCAACTAATCCAACACCCATGTGGGTTATCCCAACCCTGCAGGCGGGAACTGTTTCTCACTCCACCACAGCTCTGGGGACCCAGGATTCAGGCACTGCCACCGCCCCACCTTGTCTCATGACCCACTGAGAAGAGCTACTGAACAGAGCTCTCCTGGCCCTGGTTTCTGACCCTTCCTTACCCGTCCATCCTGTCAAACTGCAGCTGACCTTCCCCTAACCTCACAGAGTTAGAGCTCACATTATCTGTCCCATCACTGCTCTCCGCTTGCTTAGGAACCAAATTTAAAAAGCATAGAGAAAGTGGAGACCTGGAGCTAGAGGGTGGCTCAGTGGTGGAGTCACGCTGTGGCATGTGTACCTAGCCCCCTCCCCCACGCACACAAATAAACATAAAAAATTAACTCTTGATAAATGTAACACACATGCAGACACACACACAAAATGACTCTTGATAAATGTTACACACACAAGCACATGCACACATGTACAAAAAATTCAAAGACTCTTGATGTTATTATTACCTAGGTGACTTGTAAGATGAATATTCTAATATTAAACCATCAGTAGATACTTTGTAGTCAAGGATTGACCCTAGAGTCTAGCATAATACTATTACACACTCTATCACAGAGCTACACCCCAACCTTTATAACTGTGAAATAGTGTTTCACTAAGTTGCCCAGACTGACTTTAGATTTGTGACCCTCCTGCCCAGACCTCCTGAGTCACCAGGATTACAGGTATGTCCTTCTGTGAGCACTGTTCCATTAAGCTGTGACTGGACTCAACCAGTAATCTCTCTCTAGACTGCATCTGTGCATGTGTGCCTATGTGGCACATGGGCATGCTTCCCTCTGTATATTACCTCTGTCAGGCTTCCATCAGGGGGGCACACACTTGAACCAAGACACAGGTAAGAGCAACCTCTTCAAGACAATGGCTAGCAAAGGTTCTCTGTGGAGTCCTCAGTTCCTGGCCACCTCCTTAGAAGCCCCTCTTCTTTACTACACTTTCATCTTTCGTCAGCTGTGCTCGGTCCCTTCTGGCAGTCAGCTCATCCTCCACTAAATATGCACAGCATCTGACAATAGCCTACATTTACAAGAATGGGTTGTACATGGATTCATTCTTCTCTAAATCTTGCACATCTGAGGTTAGAGTCTTTTCATATGTGTGTATACACACATGTGTGCAGATTTTGTGTTCATGTGTGTGGAAGTCAGAGGACAACCTTGGACAATATCTCTAGAAATCACATGTAACTCATGAGACAGGTTCTCTCCTTGGCCTGGGGCTTATCTGGTCCTCTTGTCTCTGCCTCTATAGTTTCTTTCAACATGAGTTTCAGGCTGCAGCCCCAAGTCTTCGGGCTCCCACAGCAAATGCCCTTTGACTGAACCTTCTCTAGTGTTATACACTCACACTTTGACTGAACCTTCTCTAGTGTCATATACTCACACTTTGACTGAACCTTCTCTAGTGTTATATACTCACACTTTGACTGAACCTTCTCTAGTGTTATATACTCACACTTTGACTGAACCTTCTCTAGTGTTATACACTCACACTTTGACTCCTATTTTCTTGCCACAGGAGCCAAGTGTTTCTAGCTAAGTAATGCTTTTCAGAGAACCGACTTTCCCTTCCTCATCCAGTGCTCTGATTTTATCTTTCTGTGTTTCATCTTTCTGGATCTTGTGCTAGCTAGCTGCTGTGGCAGGAAGCCCTCACCTTGGTCAAGCCAGAGCAGCCAGCATTAGGGATAACCACAGAATCAGGAATTGGGATCGTGGGACCCAACTGGGCCAGCCTTACCTCAATGAGCTTCCTCTCATAGGAGCTTGCTAGTTCCTCAGCAACTTCCCCAGGCCTCTGTTCAGGGACTGTAACTTCTCCATCAACGTTCCAAAGACTAGGTACAACTTTAAGAAAAGAAACACACTCAGGTAAGTGTCTTAACATGAATCAAGAAGATTACTCTCCCTTCATTTTAATGCATGTATTTATTTAATATTTATGCACATGTGTATGCAAGACTACAATTTCTCCAGTGAGAAAGCTCTTGATAAGGGAAAAAAATCACAATTAGTAATTACTTCATCACTACAACACCCTTACAGTACAACACAGTACGAGAGAGTACACAGTCTTCTGAAGGTCTAAGGGTTACTGGGTTCTGCACGGGAGTTTGGAGAGTGGCCTCATCACCCTGGAAGCCTTGGGGGAAAGTACAAACATCTCAGCAGCACACAAGCTCATGCATGCATCTTTTATGTTGGCCAAACTTGTTCTGGGAGGTGATACCTGCTTACAGTTTGCTATAGAATAGTACTGGGTATGAGGTCCCAGGCTGTGGTGGTTTGAATGAGAACAGCCTCCATAGGCTCCTATGTTTGAATACTTGGTCCCCTGTTGCTGGGACTGTTTGGGAAGGATTAAAAGGCCTATTTCAGAAGGTGTGTCACCGGGGATTAATTTGAGTTCTCAGAAGGCTGAAGTCATTCCCAGTGTGCTCTCTGGCTCCTGACTGCAGATCCAGGTGTGAGTTCTCAGCTGCTCCTGTGTCAAGCCTCTGCTCTGCCATCATGGACTCTAGCACTCTGTCTAAGATGCTTTAGTCAGGGTGTTTTAGGACAGCAATAGAAAAGCAACTAATGCAGAAGTAGAACCAAGAACCATATATAAAGGCTCCTTAGAGCAGTGATTCTCAATTTTCCTAATGTGACCCCTGAACACATATCCTCATGGTGTGGTGATCCCTAACCATAGAATTATTTTTATTGTTACTTTATAACTGTAATTTTGCTACTGTTATGACTCATAATATAAATATCTGATATGCAGAATATCTGATATGTAACCTCTGTGAAAAGGGTCATGACCCACAGGTTGAGAACCATTGCCTTTGAAGGACATCCAACAGCCTTGGGAAAGCCTCTGAAACCAGTGCATCAAATCACTGCAAGACCATGCTATGGGAAACTGGCCCCCAGGTCATGATGCACAAGGCATGGTCACCCATTAGTGCCTATTTTGTATAACACCAAATAATTAAAAACTCAGAATGAGCCAGGAAGCTCCAAAGCCACTAAGAGAACAAAGCCAAGATAGTAGTCTGGAAAAGGAAAAGCCCAGTGACATGCTTTACAAACATGAGCCAGGCTCCGTTTCCAGCAGTGCTAAGAATACAAGTCCTGAATGCCTACTAACCATATGGGATTATATGAGGGCAAAAGAGAGGCCTGAGGCAGCCCCAGGTGACAGGAAGGGGCCTCCAGAACTGCGGTGCAAGCACTGGGACCCTGGACGCTTCATGCGACCCATGGCTGAGTTTCAGGCAGTCCAGTAACCAAGTGGCCATCAGCCATAGCTGGGCAGCCTACAGGAGAAGCATGGCCTTTGGTGACAGTGAAACACCCAGGGCTTTGAAACGTTGAGCTGACTCTAACCACCAGTGACACCTGACACTCAAGGTACTTAAAGAAAATTTAGACTCCAGAAAAAGATGATCCAAGGAGCATGTTAAATTCATCCCCTTTAAAATCTCATTAAAGTATGAAATGGTTTTGCTCTAGAGAAAAGGGAACGGTGTAGAGGAAATGAAACAACAAAACGTGTGGCAGCTGAGAATCAGACAGGCAGAGAAGAAAGAGAATTTCAGCTCTGGACACAAGAAGCTGAATTGAACAGAATGACTCAAGAAAGACTTGAGACAAACAGGGGTGGGAGCTAACAAGGGCAAGAAATCTGTGAGAAGTTGCAGTCAGAAGACTGGTTTGCTCTGGGAAGAAGCTATCAGCACATCTGGGCTGAGTTGAGTGTTAGGATGCATTACTGAAAACGGGGAGGTGAAGCTAATCCACAATGACCTTGTGAGATGTACCAGTCTCCTCTCCTAACCCTACTTGATCCCTGAAGAGCAGGGACACATCATGTATCTCCCAAGCAAGGTGACAAGAATGAATCCTCCTGGGAATCCAAGGAGCTCAAAGGGAAAACCTGAAGAGACTCTGGTGGTCACCAGAAACAACACAGTCAAGTAGACATGTGATGGTTGTGGTGGTGGTGGTGATGGTGGTGGTGATGGTGATGGTGGAGGCAGTGGTGGTGGAGGTGGTGAAGGAGGTGATAGTGGTGGAGGTGATGGTGGTGGTGGTGGTGGTGGAGGAGGAGGAGGAGGAGGAGGAGGTGGTGGAGGTGGTAGAAGAGGTGGTGGTGGTGGTGGTGGAGGAAGAGGAGGAGGAGGAAGAGGAGGAGGAAGAGGAGGTAGTGGAGGTGGTGGTGGAGGTATTCAAAACCCCCGACTACTTTCTGTGGACTTAAGCCAAATACCACTATGGAACCATGCTGTGAACAGACTAGCCCTTTAAGATTTGTCTCACTTGGTCAGAGAATGCTGCAGATGCACAAAAAGCTGGGTCCAAACCAAGAAAACTTCTAAACAGACACAGTATGCTTCAAAATGTGCTTAGATACTGGAGGGGGATAAGGAGAGAAAACCTCTAAACAGACATAGTATGTCTCTAAAATGTGCTTAGATGCTGAAGAAAAAAAGAAAATGGATATTGAAGTGATAGAAAAATAAATGGTTTAAAAATAATAAAGCAAAGTCTGTAAAGAAAGAGTAAAGTAATATAAAAAGAATTAGCTACATATGGATGGGAAATACCACAGGGCATGTGGATCATATATAGTGCTTTGTAAACTTTAAATACTTTAAATACTAATGAACAAAAAATAGCTGCTGAGAGATGAAGAGGAAACAGGAGGTCTGAGACAGAAGAAAGGTAACACCACATGACAGCACACAGACTAAAATAAATGGGTTAATTTAAGTTATAAGAGATAATTGAGAACAAGCCTAAGCTAAGGCTGAGCTTTCATACTTAATAATAAGTCTCCATGTCGTTATTTGTGAGCTAGTGGCTCAAAGAAAAATCTAACTACACCCATCTGTATGTCGGCTGCTTGCACTGTGATTCATTACAGAGGCAAAGTCACCACAACATGGGGAACTGTGTTAAAGGGTCACAGCATTAGAAATATTGAAAAGCACTGGCTTACAGAATGTCTCTCCTTACCTAACGTCTATTCAGGCTTAAAAATGTACTTCTAGCCTCCTAGTCTTTGTGAACTTTGCTACGCTTTAGCTACTTTGATAAACTGAGTCATATAAGAAACTGTTAAATTCTATAATGGTATACTATAAAAGGATCAGGAAAGTTCCCAATCTCTCTGTGGACTGTATCTATGAGTTAAAACTTTTATTTTGATAATAAAAGGAGATACAATTTGGAAATTGTTATTTTTAAGGCACAAATATAGCAGAGATAAGGCTTTAAAATCCTAATCATATAAAAAAGCTATCAATTTACTATAAATTGTTAAAGATGATTAAGACATGCAAATTAATGGATCAAATTATTTGATATATTCAGAACTATACTTGTAGTCATACTAAATACTAATACAATTAATTATAGGAAAAAGTTTTATTGAGCTTCCTATGTGTGTGTTTTCAAGGTTAAGCCTGACACAGTAACTAAAAACAAGCAAAGGTGGTTTAGCGTGGATATACCTAATAGATAATGATCCTCAAACTTGCCAGAGATCTGCTGAATATAGAACTTAAAATGTTAAATGCAAAAAAGGTTACCATAACAGACAGAGAACCCCCAGCTCCTAATGGTGACCCCATAGTCTCCAAAAAAGATGATGGGTCACAATGACTTCACCAGAATTGTGGTGACCCTTACCATTGGTATAACTTCTCCAATGCCCTAACTGCTGCCAGGACCCTACCTGTACTGGCTTGTTTTGTGTGTCAGCTTGGCATGCAAGGTTCAGTCATCAGAGAGGAAGGCGCCTCAATTGAGGAAATGCCTCCGTGAGATCCAGCTGTAAGTCATTTTCTCAATTAGTGGTCAATGGGGGAAGGCTCAGCCCATGGTGGGTAGTACCATCCCTGGGCTGGTGAACCTGGGTTCGATAAGAACGCAGGCTTGCACCCAGGGCAGTAAGTAGCACCCTTCCCTGACCTCTGCATCAGCCTCTGCCTCCAGGTTTCTGCCCTCTTTGAGTTCCTGTCCTGACTTCTAACAGCAATGTTAGAGTATAAGCTGAACAAACCTTTTCCTCCCCAACATACTTTATGGTCATGGTGTTTAATCACAGCAGTAGAAACCCTAAAACACTACCTAAACTGTGGACAAGCAGTACAAAGTTGATTGTGCCACTTTGCCTAGACAGAGTAAGGACAGTCCCTCACAAATTCCTCCTCCACAGACGGTGACCGAAGATTGATACTGCCCTAGGATCTCGGTCCCCAACGAAGCCATCAAGACCACAGGGGCCTAGGATAGCTTTCTGGGTAACAGATAAGTCTCTGTCTGTTAAGTGGAACAGACCATTTGGATTATACTGGTTATAATTTATCCTCAGATCTCTGACGGCAATGATGGCCAAATTAACTGTAGCTTCATCAACTTGACAGCAACAGGCAACCAGTTTCCTCCCTAGAACTGCAGCTACTATGTCAATTCATTTCATATATAAAAACTGGGCTTTGCTTTTTCTAGATCTACTAGGTCTCCTATCGAGAAAAGGCAGACAGGTTTGCCTTGCTTACAGGCTTCATATTAAAGCATAAAAAAGAACTTGCTTAACAATGACTGCTCTCAGTAATCAACCACTTATGGCAAATGATTAAATAGAAAATGGTTTTAAATTTATGCAAATTCTGAGGGTCTAAGAAAATGATTTAAGACATATCAAAAATAGGAAACGTTTCAGATTTCTTCCATCTTGTGCCACTGAAATACTACAGGTTCAAAGTTCAGAGTTTTATCCTTAATTGATGAAGTTCTCAAAGCTCGGTAAAGCACTGACTAGTCCAGCTGTTCCGTTGACTATGAGCTGCTTT